ATTAATTTACAGTTCATTTAGGATTTTATTTTATTCGCTACATAGATTTTATTGTGTGCTGAGAACATGTGAGCAGTGAGCAATTGCGCAAGCACACAGCTTTGAGGGACATTGGCTCTCATGCTGTTAAGTCAATAGATGCAGATAATAACAAGGTAAGCCATTGTCTAGGGGCCCCCAGGCAGCTCGGGGCCCTAGGCTATTGCTTGGTTTGCTCGCCTTGTTGCAAAGTGCCTGAACATTATGAAAATAATGTCCTAATTTTAGGGAATAAAGTTGTATTTTATGACAACTCTAAGCACGTCTTCTCTAAAATAAGGAATGCTGAGCATCTTGTGAACTTATACTTTGGTATCGGTTTCACAACAAAGGAAATATTACGTAATTTAGCGCAACAGCATCAAATTATTATCAGTAATCGAACTTTGAAATGATTGTGCAAAACGACTATATCTGTATGGAAGAAAGAACCAAATGGATCCAGAAGAAAAAGTAATCTAGTAGCGATCTGCTAAAAGCCTATGTGTTCTTTTAGTTTTTCAACTTTATTCTCTTAATTTAATTACTTTAATCTCGTAAATTTACGACTTTATAATGTCATAGTATTATTCTTGTAATATTACAACTTTATTCTCCTTCTATTATGACTTTATTCTCATAATTTTACGACTTTATGCTGATAATATTGCAACCTTATTTTCATACTATTATGACTTTATTCTCATTATATTATGACTTTATAAAGTTACGATATTATTCTGATAATGTTGCGACTTTATTCTCATACTATTATGACTTTATAATGTTACATTATTCTCATAATGTTATGACTTTATTCAGCGTATTAAAAAAAATTAAATAAAATCTCTAGCCTGGCCCTAATACTCCGTTGTATGGCAGAGAGAGTAAAAAGCTGTGTTTTCCCTGGAAGGAAGTGGTCATGGATACCGGCTTACCCTGGTAGGTAGAGCGGCTTGTTGTACTCAAGTTTGTCCAGATAATCTCTTGAACCCCCGACTCTGTCATTCGGGTCATTATCCAACACCTCCGGATGACCCGACACATTCGTCACCTGAGGCGAGAAAAATGACTTACTGCCCATTTTAATCAGAACATTAAACTCATGAAATGAATTTCATCAAGTATTCCTCTTGTGTTTGTGATCATTTTGGGAGGAACTAAAGTTATACTTTTCTGACATTCCGGGAGAAGTCTGCTTTATAAAAGATCTTCCTTCTCTTTATGCGTTCTTGTTTATTCCAAGATTACTTGTTATTGTTATCTATGGGTAAACGAGCCATTCAACAGGTCAAACCGGCTCTTCCACCCTTTCCTGCGTATCTGAATGCCACGGATGCCGCTTCTACTGTCAACAGGAAACCTAAAAGTGTTGTCTTTCACTCTCTTTCACCATCAAATGTTCTGCCGGTGGACTTGACAGACTTAAAATTAATCTGTTTTTTGCTCAATCTGAAACCTGTTCTGTAGTAGTGACTCTTTAATTTTCACAATTCCTCTTTGTTGGACTCACACTTTGCATTAAAGCTGATTCTAACTCTGCCGAGTTTCAGGGCAACATCCTGAAACAAAGAGTGTCCTAAAAGGCCACACCCAGAAACTGCAAATGAAACCATCCAGTCTTATCTCACAGCTCATCACTCACGTTCAAAAACAGCTTGGATTGATGTGCGTAGCTTCTGCCAGAACAATTCACTTTTTCAAACTTTCTTTTCTGGGTGAAAATTCTTAATCGTTTTATTGGCCTGGAGCCGGAAACTGATGTATCGTTATATCTATGAACAGGTTGTTCTGTAATGAAACATACATGAATTCAGTGAAATGAATTAACGTAACACCAATCATGACTCATTATGAGTCCTCTAGAGAGCTGTAAGGTGTGATTTAAATCTCGAACTTTCTGAGATGTTATCTAATCTAATGCTGCGTTCAGACCGCATGCGCTTTGAACAGCAAAGAAGAATCTGCTGCTTCATTTCTGATGCTTGTCCACATTAAGGTCAGACGTCCAGTAAAGTGTGTCCAGATGATGGCTGAACGTTGCCACCTGATGTAGAACATGGTGGTTGCCCAGACAATGATAATAACATCATGTAGCATCCGTTAACGTGTCTAATAACCAATGAAGTTTTACCTGATCGATAACAAAACCGAAAAAAAATCTGTTTTTGGAGAACAAAATAACTGCAAGACATTGGTATAGAGGGGGAGAGCTGGGTAGCCCTGTGGCTAGCTGTTCAGTAGCTAACAGGTTAGCCTCTTTAGTCAGTTAGCCATATTAAGCTAGCACTAGCTTAGTCAGTTAGCCATATTAAGCTAGCACTAGCTTTAAATCCGTGTTAACAACAACCGTTCGTTTTCTACAAGTAGAATAACTGTTTTTTTTTGTCTAAAAACTCTAAGAAAGTCATTCTTTAGGATGTTCCATTGGTCGTCCTCTGCCCTGAGATCTTAATAAAAAGAATAAAAATAGACTAAGACTGTTTGTGTCACCTTGTTAAATGAAAGATTTCAGTCTGTCTTAGAACTCAGCACTTTCCTTCACAAATGACAATTATTGTTTTCTATTTTTGGCTACTTTAGATCGCCAATGAAATTTAAAAATAGCAAAGATAGATAATAATATGCTGAGAAACCGAAAGAGATTTGATCCTTAAGAAATGGGTTCTATACAGTTTGTCCGAGTGGAGTTGCCATATGATGATGTCATAAGAAGGGACGGGACCCCGAGCAGATCCGGTACCTACAGTGGTCACATTTTGGGGGTTTTGCCTACTGTTGGTGGCGGCTGAAAGTAGATGTTAGCGTTTTTCCAGGTATGTGCTACAAACTGCAGGCACCAGAATAATAAAAGCTAACATAAAGGTTTCCACATTTTAAGTTAATTTAGGCGTTAATAAACTGTTTCAGAGGAGTGATCATAGCGCTCTGCATCAGCAGTGCTGTATCCGTCTCCCTGCCAGCTCCCAGATCAGCTTCTCTGATTGGTTGATGTGGCTCTGCTGCTTGTGAAGCATGTCACGTGCCTCAGATGCTCAAAAGCACTTGAGGAGCTGCTTCGGCTGCTCTAAACGGGCTGCAGGACCTACTGATGCACCTTTGACGCTCGTCATCCATAGCATGTAAATCGGCTGCTTCTGCTGCTCCAAGCGCGTCACTAAGACTCTTTGAGCTCCTTGCTTTTCTTAGCATGGGCCTCCTGATTTATCTTCATCTCTACGCCACCGACTCAAACCATGTTGTTAAGCTTTTCAGACATTTCTATTATTACTAACCAGAACATCTGCAGGCTTTTACTACTTAAAGTCATCAGGTAGGCCTTAGTTCCAGTGCAGCCTATGTTTTACTAGTCCTTCCTGGATTGTTCTTGATAGGCAGCGAGTCAAAAGGCAGATCTCTTCTGAGACTAATAAGGATTTTTTATTTGCCAATAACTTTGCTCAGACGATGATGCACAGATTATTTTTATCTTTGAAGCACTGTCGGTGACCATTAACCCTCATCTTTGTTTTAGAGCCACACAGACATCAATGCAGAAAAGTCGACACACAAAGAACCAAACCAATAATTGCAATTACAAATAATAATATTTTTATACGTTTTCTTTAAGAGGCTGAAAAATAAGCTAAGTGTGCAGAAAACATTTCAAGGAAACAACTCACCCACTCCCCCACACTGTTCCTGAGCCCGGGGTTCAGAACCTTCACCTCCTCCCAGAGAATCCGGTCCTCGCCCCATCGCTGGATCAGTTTGCGAGTCTTGACAGCAAACACCAGTACGATGATGAGGCCAACAACCACCAGGAAGCCCAAGACAATCGCTATGGCCTGCAGGACAAAAGGTCAGACTATTAGGGAGCTGAAATTACATCTGTCGACAGGCGTAGTAAAACCCACCGCGGTGCAGGTGAACAGTGTCAGATTGAAGGCTCAGATTTCTCACTATGCTTTGCAAAATGATCAAGACAATCTTTACAGATTGAAAGAACCTTTCATTTAGCTTGGATGTGTTCACCTGAAATAGATGTCCACATCCAAGGAACAACAAATTTACAGTACTAAGATGTCAAAGGCAACTTTTTGTGTTTTCTTTTCCATTAACAGTTGCAGTTAGACGACCTTAACATAAAACGGATGAGGGCAACAAGGCCGTCATCTGTTGAACTGATCAGCAAACTCACCTGTGCTACTGGGATCATGGTAAATTATCAAAGGAAAGTCAAAGTTAATCATTGAGGTGCATTTAGGACAAGCAATAGAAGGGCTTTGCGAGGGATAACAATGCATTAAAAAATTTTTAGATGTTTTTAACTGACTTTAAAAACAAACCACAGAATCCATTAACTGACTTTTCAACTAAAGAAACTAAAGGGCTGCACAACAACGCAGAAACCACACTTACAACTTGTAACTACTAGCGATTTAACAGGAATTATTTTAGTTTAAAAGAAATCTATGATTTGAATGAACTACCAGGTTTCATAAATATCAAATGCTTGGAAACTGACAAGAAAGTCTTTTATGCAGGAAGGCAGGAAGTCCTTTGACCTTAGATTTCATGTAATTATTACACAGAATCATTGAACCTTTGTTCATTATTATTTGTATAAGTATTTATGAAACTAGTATTGTTGTTAGCAGCAGGTACTGAATGTATGACACTGATTCTTTTCCGAAATATACAGTAGTAGCCATTCAAAATGTCCCCAATTTCCAAGATGAGTCCCTGGCTGGTGCCCTACAATTCATTTTTAAGCATCAATATTTGAACTAAAATATTCTTTCTATCATGATTTGATGATATCAAGATCTAAAGAGAAGCGTCATCTCCTGATCAGACCCTGTAAGTCAGAGTGCAAAAACAAGCAAGCCCAGGAGAAGGCAAGTGGCTGGAAGTTGGAGCAGATTCGGCTCACGTTTGACTGGGAAGGGTCATTTTGAATGGCTGCTACTGTAAAGCACTTGGACACAAGTTTCCCTCATATAAAAAAAGCAGAGATAAAAGCAACAGAATTGGCCGTATCTCACCTCTTGGGGCTCCACCACGCAGTAATGGTAAAGGTACTGGTTGATGAAGATGCCCTGGGCCTGGGTTTGCGTCTGGTATTGTGCACATAACTGGAGCACCTGGTTGTACATCAAAGATCCTGAGGACTGTGCTGTTGGGTTCACAGACACCAGGTAGACGATGGTGGAAATGAGCATCAGAAAGGCTAAAATGGCACATATGATGATGGAGGCCAAGTAGAACTTTGAGGAACGCGAGGCGTTTTGCCTTGAGATCACCAGAATAAATATGATCAACATGGCTATGAAGGTAATGGCAGCGATGGCGATGATGAAACCTTTGCCAGACTTGGGATCGATTTGTGTTCCACCGTAACCATAGCCGTAGCCTGAGCCAGAGCCGCCCAGACCAGAACCGGCGTAGGAGTTGCCGTAACCACCGCTGTAGCTGGCGCCACCGAAGGCGCCACTGGATCCGCCACCGTAACCGTAGCTCCCTCCGCCTATACCCGGGATCATGCCGGTTCCACCTCCCATGATGCCCATGTCGTAGTCCCAAGCCAGGGTGGAGGCCACACAGGCAAAGATGGCCACACACAGGATGATGATGATGATGCAAAGTATCTTCATTACACCTGGTGGGGAAGTCCAGCGATAGAAGTGAAGCATCTTGTCTCCCTGATAGTTGGAGAAGGCCGGATTGGACATGAATTCGCTGTGCCGGTGTTTGCTGTCAACAAAGGAGAGCAGACGGGCTATAGTCAATATCTGAATGTCACAAAAGGTCAGATTCAACCAATGAGGCTGAACCGGAAGCCTCTTACCGGCGGAGAGGCTTTACAGTAAATGTTTCACCAAAAACAAACCATATTTAACACTCAAGAGCAACAATCAAATGGCTAAATGTTTACACTGTCAACAAGCAAACCATAGAGAAGCAGGGAATTGTGGGTCCTGATCACCTGACATCATTTGAAATATTTTTTGGATGTACTGTTTAAACATTATGTACTGTAGGAGTTTGCATACAGCATGACAGGACGTGTTGTCAGGGCAGACGGTGGTGTGTTGATGTGTGCTGAGGGTAATCTGCATGCCATGGGATTTAAAGTAAACAGCATTGAGCCGTACGGCAACACAACAGCCTGTAAACTGCAGGAAACTAACTCAGTGTATCAGCTCACACCAACATTAATAGACTTTATGCAGGTTTGCATAAAGTTACCTCATTATTAGGCTCTGCTTCAGGAAGGCCGGATGAGTTTACTGATAAAGTGCATTAAATATGTGAATTTAATTCTAATATGTTCAACAAAGAATACTGTGCAAATAGTAATAAAGTGGGAATTTTGATCAAATCAAATTTTAAAGTTAAAAAAAGGGAAAAACATCAGCTGGTTTGCAGAAATATGAAAACAAGTTGCAAAATATCATTTTAGTCCATATCAGGTTTGCTATTGTTGTTAAGTCATATTTTTTCTCCCACATTGTTTACATTTAATCACTGCTGCAATTTAAGGAATAAAATGTCATGAAAGCTGTACAAAACAAAATTTCATTTTGCATACACTGTGTTTACAAAATGAGAATAAAAGTTGTCTAAGAAAATTCTTTTTTTATAGGTCCATCAGGATAGAAAAGATTTCCTGAACACTTGGAGCAAAAACAAAACAAAACATGGAATAATGTTTTATTGGAAGGGATGAGCCGCTCTAAATTAAGCATTTTACCATTTCTGTCTTCTGTTCTTATCTTTAAAACATGCTTCATAGTATTATCTGTATTGTTGCTCATTTTCAGTGTTTAACAGGATGAAACACCTTTAACTGAAAGAGTTTTAATTCTCCCCTTATATTTAATATGCTAAAGAAAGCAGATTTAGTGGCAGGTTGGTGTCTTGGTTCCTCTGTCCCAGAACTATCCTCACATCCACAGTAAAGCCTCTCTTTAGTCGACCTTTATCTTTATTCAAATTTTAAAAGTTTTATGGAAATTAGAGGTTCTTCAAATCTGTATATTGGTTTTACTTAACATGAAAAGTTTAGAGTTAGACTAGAACCTAAAATAAGGAGACAAGTGTTGTATATGACAATAAAGGCTGTGGGATCTGTAAATGTCATTAGATGATGGTGCTTAATTGTGTGCTTAATTAAAAATGTTTTTTTTTTTAACTAACCAACTTAAGTCAGAAGTATTTTCTATATCTGAGATTGAATCAATCTAAATTGTCTAATTTTCTCAGATAAAAAAACTGTTTTCAACAACAGAATGAAAGCAGATCGAGCTCATCTGTTTCCGGTCAACTTATGACACATTGATTGATCAATCAGCCTATAGATGTCAGCTGACATAATGCAACACTCACCTCCTGCTCCCACTGGGCGGGTACAGAGGGTGGCTGTGTCTGTGGCTTGGCATCCTGGAGTGATGCTGGCTCTCTAACCTCTAAGGAAAAAAAAAATGGAAGCAGACCTCCTGACCTGAGGAAACATGTAGGAGAAAAGCTTGTTGTTATTCAGGCAAAGAGTGACGTTCAAGATCACAAAACAAGATTAAACATGTTATCCAACTCTTTTACAAATTAAGTAAGAAAAAAAAACCTGTAGTTTTATTTAAAAGAAAATATTTGTTATAAATCAACAGAGAAATGCACATTTAAAAACTACAGGTTCCTATATAAGTATTCACACCCTTCGCTGTGTGGGTTCCAGAAAACACTGTCCCATTACTTGGAAATGTAGGTTAGGTCTTCCTGCCTGACCAATCTAAGCATTCAGGGAGGAAGGGCCTCAGTCAGACAGGTGGCAGGTACCAAAGGACCACAACCACTGGAGAGCAATATACATTAAGAGCGTCTTAGTTAAGTTTACTGCAATGTGTAGAGGAGCACCTGATCCCACACACCTTAAAAGGTCAGATTAACGCATTGTCATGCTGGGAAGTTTTGCAGCGATCTAATTAAGTAATTAAGGTGTGTTGAAGCAGAAACATGCCAAGAAGGTCAGACATTCCCAAATCAATCAGGAGGATGCCGTCTCTACTGCAGAGTAAGCTGACAGCAGGAAAACACAGATTCTAAAACAGACTCCAGAGTTCTCCATCTACCAGACAAGTCATCTTCAAATATGAGAATAATCTTAAACATCCATACAGGAAGAGAAGGAAAAAAAGCAAAACGGAGGAACCATCGGTCTCTGTGAGCTGGGCCTCTAATTGATCACCACAGAAATGGTGCTAAATAAAGCTTTCTGCTAATTAAGGGACCTGAACTTAAGAAGCTCCACAGAGAAGAATGACAGAACACTCAGAACCAGGCGGACACAGCTGCCAGAGACACACTCAGCAGCCCCAGGCTCTGAAAGCTGCCAAGATCCAAAAACATGTTCCAGTTTGTCAGAATCTAATTAGAGATTTAAACATTTTAGATTTACTTTGTAAGGTATAAAGTGAAAGGGTGTTAATACTTTCATCATATTCTTCTTTAAAACTATGTGTTTTTAAATTCCAGCTCCTAGAGGACAAGGAGGACCCTGTTAACTTTTCGTTTTGGGTTTTGACAGCTGAAAGCAGCAGTGATGGAGGGTTTATCCTGGTTCCTTCCCAAACATTGACCTCAATCCTGAAGGAGCTGCTGCTCAGGAACCCAGAGGAACCAAACGGCTCCTATTTGGACCAGAGTCCAAAACTAGATGTTGCCCACAGGTCAGTCAGGCTGGTTTTTAATGACCAGGACAAACCCAGCAGGTGGACAGGATGAGATCATGTCTCCATAGATCCTGTGGTTAAAGTTCAGCTCATTGTCTCTGGAATGGACGCCGTTTCTGAGCTGCTATGTTTAAATGACAGGTGAGTGAATATCCGCACACCTGTTCTGCTGTAATCTAATTAATACAAATAAAAAAACTCACCTAAAACCAAACTTTTGAGCTAAAGTGATCCAATAAAACACGTTGGTCCGTGAAATCCTCGGAGTGAGACAGAAAGCGGACTCACCTTGTGATGCTGCTGCTCCTGAACTCGGCGGCGGCGTTAAAGAGGAGCGATGCAAACAAGCGCGCGCCCGCATCCATCCACGCCCCGCGCGCAGGGACCCAGGAGCGGCGGGGGCGGAGGCCTCCCCAGGTGTGCGTGTTCGTCATGTGATCTCCTCAGGTCACACAGGACCAACCAGTTCCTCTTCCCCACGGAGGCCTTCATCCCCAATTCAAGGAAGCGCGTCTCTGGCCGCTCCTGGAAAAGCCTGCTGCGCTTCACTGAAAAAAACAATGCATTTGGCATTAACCTAATCACATTTAGTTACTTTAACACACTTGTTTTATGTCCTGCCCTACGGAAGATGATTAGAGCCAGTGGGGAAAAAAAAGTTAACTAATTTTTAAATTTTATTTCAGTTTAGTATGGGAAAAAAGTCAGAATTCTGACGTTTTTTCTCAGAATTCTGACTTTAATCTCAGAATTCTGACTTTTTTCTCAGAAATTCTGACTGAATTCTAACAATAAAAATAGCCAGAATTCTGAGAAAAAAGTCAGACTTCTGAGAAAAAAGTCAGAATTCTGACTTTTTTCCCATACTATACTGAAATAAAATAAAAAAAATCAGTTAACTTTTTTTTCCAGTCTCCCTAATCCTTTTCTGTACTACCCTGCTAACATGAAACAATTGTTTGATTAAGTAAATGCCAAAAACGGTTGCATAATTTTTCACGCTGTTTTCAGTCAGGATCGGACTGGCAGCCATGTTTTGGTTTCAGCTGCTTCATTTTTTACCTTTACACTTTATTATCAGTACTAATAGAAATATTTCAGTTTGAATAAAGCAAAATTTTTAATTTACATCTTTCTCTTACCAAAATGCACACAGAAAATATTTAATTCTGCATATAATCATATTTTAATTGATTTTAAATTAATTTAAAGACCAAGCAAAAAGAGTGGCAGGGAATACTAAAACTAGACACATGTTTTCTTGTAACCTGAGACCTGAAGGACCTCCCCAGCTTAAGTCCTGACCAAATGGAGGCCAAGAAAACAATGGAAACCAGCACTACAAAACCATAATTGTCCCAGTCTGACCAAACCAGTTCTTCAAGCTCTGGTGGCAGAGGAGTAGATACTTCTGCAGCCATCTTAGGATAGTGACAGAGCAGAGAGATCCATCCCCCTCTATCAGGTCAGCGCAGGCTCCACCCCACAGACACTGCATCAGGCTTTAAAATACCTGAAGAAGATTAAAGACTCTGGAATATAATCCAAGAGTTTTATAAGAGTATTTTTTTTGTCTGTGTGTGAAATAAATTCACATTTCTAAACTTTTCTTTCAGTTGATGCTATGTTGTAATTACGGCAGACCAGGGAGGGTAAACCTGTATGTCCAGCCTTCTCCAAGTGCAGCCATCATGGATAAAATGTCTTAGAATATGATTTTAGAAGCGAAACATCAGATTTTGAGCAGTCCTGGAATCTAGGAAGCAAATCAATTAAGGCTGCTTTTTATTTTCAGCTGACAACAGAAACATACCACAGTAGAAACCCATACGATGAATAAGAGCTTCATAGAAATAGCTCAGCTGAGAAAGAAGGCAGCCGCAATCCAGACACCAGAAATACTTTCCTACAGACTAATCACAGAAACTACAGCAAGCCTGTGATGAAACCAAAACCAAGTCTTAGCAAACATCCTACCTTTGTTAATTGTGTTTCCATCTGCTGACATATTGCTGTAAATATCTAATTTCTGCTGTGAACCTTTGGACAAGCCTTTATTATTACTGATCTGTTCTGTTCTTTCTGTCATTTATGGACACCAAGAAAAATCCAGAACACACGCTGGTTATAGAAACACATTCCTTTGTTTGTGAAATAAAAAACAACATATGGACATTTAAACAACACAAACATTACATTAGGAGCAGGTCATCTGTCGGTGATTAGTGTTCAGCCTGTGCAGCGGCTGATCTGATAAACTCAGTGGGAGATTAAACAGAAGTCCTTGCAGTTTTGATATCAAAGGACAACAAAATTACATGCTGCATTAAGAAATATACAAAAATACAAAATTTTACCAGTAGCAAGATATTCTGCATCAGTCCTGATATCCCGGCTTGTTCAACTTATTGTGCTTTTACGTTACACCATTTAATACTAGGGAGGAGCCGCCTGGCTGTACTACAGCTACAAAAACAGTCATAGTATAAACAGAGAACAATAGAACAAGGCTTTCCCCCTGTTTATGTATTTGCATTTTTGTATTTTCATCTCTCTTTTTATTTATTTTTTGTATTTTCTGTAAAGTGTCCTTGAGTGTCCAGAAAGGCGCTGTTAAATAAAATGTATTATTATTATTATAAATTTTGCTTGTACCTCAGATGATATCTGCTCTTAAAGTTAATTATAACAAAGCTGCTGAGGAACGTCTCATTTCTACATATCAGTCTGACCAGGTGTACTTTCTCTACATCAAGTACTTTATTTTTTAATCTAACATCTGCCCCAGCTTTCTCTCTTTTCAGCAGATGTAAAGGTGAGATCCCATCCGTCTGTGTGTTCGATGAGCAAGGCATTACCTTTATTTCTGTTTTACGTCTAAAATGTCATTTCAATTAGACTCAAGGATCCAGGGAAAGGAGTCTGTGTTTCCATGAATGAAAGACATTTCTGCTGAGTTCCCTTTGAAGGGACCGGAGCAGCCCTTTTTTCTCAAGCTATCAGTTCCTTAAACAACACAATGGGAATATTGTCAGATAGATTCACATAAAGATGGCTGACAGTGAGCAGAATGAGGCTGCTGATTGGATTTCCTGGTTGCAGACAGCTTTATTTCCCTGTATGCAGCAGGATGTTCTAGTTCACAGTGTTGTTGTACTCCTGGATCTTCTGTTTGATGTGGGACAGCTTGCTCTTTAGGTACTCACAACGCTCTCTTTTCTCCAAATATGTGGGGTCCTGAGAACAGAAGGAGGGGATTAGGATCAGAAGCATCTTTTCAGGTAACAAAACAACAAAATGTGGTGAAGCATGTAAGCATTGATCAGACAGGTCAGCCTGAAAGCGCTGGTCGGTCTTTTAGGGAATTTAATGCAAACGGACATTTCTGGCCTTCAAAATGAACAAGTTTGATTCATAATTACGTTGTTAGTTTTTCAAGAGTTCAAGATCAAAGCAAAACAATGTTAATTATTATAGAAAATTGCAAATAAGTGATTTAATTAAAACAAATAAAACACATAAACTTGGGAAAATAACGAAGTTTGTTGCTAATAAAGAAAAAGGTTAAAAAAACAAAAGAAGTTTGATCTTTTGTGGAGTTTCTGTGCAGATAATAAACCAAACTTTAAAAAACTGATAAAAATCCGCTGCTTCAAAATGAGAATATAAGTTATATGTTTGAACAAAGTCTTAAAAAGCTCTGACAGAGGGTCTAAAGAGCCTCACTGGGCATCAGAGCTGCCCCCCCTCCAAAAAAAACTCGTGTGATGACCCAAACACACTGAGCGTGGTTCTGCCGGGGGTTTTCCTCTCCACTGTCACTACATGTTCTCCCAGGAGGAGGGCTTGCTGAGATGAAATCAGCTGGAACATCCTGGACCACATCAGCATCAACAACAGAACAGAATTGGGTCTCTCTTTATGACTGAACTGATTAGTTTTTATATTTCTAGATATGAGTCAGATAGTTTTTTTTCCGTTATGAAGATCTTAAAATCAACAGGCTGTATTCAAGAAACACAACAACATTTATATTCTTAAATCAAAAGGCTCAAAAAATATAATATAAAATTTGTCAACAGTCATATGTCTATCATTTTAGTTATTGAACATTGGCTTCCTGGAATTAAATCTGGATCATTAGAAGTTCTTCTTTGACTATAAAAATGATCTAAATAACAATTCTTATATTAAGGAGCCTACATTTCCACATGTTCCCAATAGAACACTTCAGCGTGTTTACTTCTGCTGAGCTTCTAAGATTACAGAGGGAGTTAGAGCTTTGTTTTCAGACTGTGGAACC